CTTGGGACGTTTTAATTAATTACTTAATTTTCAATGATAAAATTTTACTTACATGATCCAATCCTCTGTATGTTAAGTAGGCTTCTTCAACGAAAACCTACATCACCATATTCTCTAATTTTATTTTCAAGGTTTTAAAATTTTGATTTCATCACTTATAGTTAAAAAAAAAATTTAAATCAAAATTTCTATTTTATAACTGCTGAAATTAAATAACGAAAGTTCTACTTGATATTTAAAAAAAAAAAAAACTATGAGAAGTACTTGTTTTTTTATTAAATACCTATTTTGCACTTAATTTAAAAATCTAATTAATTTTTGAATTTAGAAATCTTCCAATTATGAACCATACTACATATACAAAATCTTCACTTATTAGTTTAATTAATGCATTGCGTCAATATTTCAATCAACAATTTTAAACGAGAGAAATTTTTAGAATCAAAATTAAAAAATATAGGCCCTATTTTATAACCATTTTATTTTATTTGATTTTTTGTTTTGAAAAGTCAAACAACAGGTTTTGTAATATTTTTTTAATGTTTTCAAAATTAAAGTTAAAATAAAAAAATAACTTTACGAAATTGTTTTTTACTTTTAAACTTTAACCAATAACTCAAATGTATCGTTACAAAAATGTGTGAAAAATGAAAATCATTAAAAGATTGTAGAGAAGTAAAGATAACCTTATAAAATAGAATAAACACTAACGTAGCTGAAATTTTTTAAAATTTAAGAATCATGATCGTAAAACAATTTACGTAAAGAACTATAATTTAATGAAGAAGAAAAAAAAATAAAGAGGGAGAAAAGAGAGAGACGTAATTTAAATTATTTAATTTAATAAGAAAAAAGGGAAATCAATAATATCTAAGAATGGGGCGCATGGAAATTCAAAATCATTACGTGGGGACTGGGGTTTGGTTGTCGTGTCCTTCCCACGTGACTCGGCACGTGCGCCTGAGAAGCACAGGAATATTTTGTACGCATATTCCGCTGCCTTTTATAATATATAAAATATAATTAATCTAGTGTTACATTAAATTCCAAAAAAGAAATCTTCTCTCACCAAAAAAAAAATAAAAAAAATAAAAAAAGCATGATAAGGTTCTTTCTTCCCCACATTTTTCATTTTGATCCAAACAAATATCTCTTCAAATCAATCCAATGAATATATTCTCTCTTAAATATGTATTATTATCGATTTAGATGCAATCTCATCTTCGACCTTGTGTGTTGTTGATGTTGAAATTTAATTTGTTGACGTAGTTGTCAGAGAGCGGTACTGATGATTATGAGCCACTTGCAAGATCAAATTCAACATTGGTGTAGTGCTTTACCTAGTGCACTTCGATGCCGAAGGTAGAACTCAGTTCAAATAAGCTAATTAAGTGTCTTATGCAAGATGTTTGGGTACCTTTCAGAAGAGTTTGACTCCTTTTATAGGGAACATTTGAGGAGAACATGTTGCAAAATATTGGGTCGTACCATTGGGTAGAGAGTTACAATTGGTGATAGGGATGCTCTAGACGGATGAAATCATTCTTCCGCCGTCTTGTCACATCAAGATCGTACTTTCGTCGAATGTTAGCAAATATCTCGTCAATTTGTCTTTGTCCAAAAAGGCTGGATGAGCAGGGTTGCTCCTCCTAGTGGCAAGTAAGCTTCCCTACCTCGATCTATTGGGTTGGACTTGAGCTGGTCAGCCATCAACCCACGTGGCCCTCGAGAATTTGCCCACCTGTTTTGTCATTTTTAGCCCATAACAATATTGATTCATCTAAATTTTAAGAAATAAAATACTAAGTTTATGTCATGGTTAATTGATAAATTAAAAAGTTTTATTTATGTGGGTCATGAGATTAGCCACCTACTTTGTATTGATCAAAGTTACAATTCAAAATAAAAATGATTGGTAAACTATATTTAATGTTGAAAATTTAGAGTCCGTTTGATAATGTTCCCGTTTCTTGTTTCTAATATTTTTAAGAAATCTAAGTATTTTACAACTAATTTTATTAAAGTAAATATACACTGGTTTTTGCTTGTTAAAGTAAGGTATATTATAGATAAAAAGATGAATTTGACGGACTACAAAGAGAACAACAAGAAATGTTGTAGGAACGCAGACAAGAAGATAATTAAAATAAACGAACAATATAAGAAACACAAACATACATTAGGATCGAGAAAAAATAATAATAATCAAAATATAAAAATAAATCTCAAACAAATCTTACGAACGAGATATACATAAATTCTAACTAAAATTATGTTCCCGATAGATATATATAGCCGCGGCCCAAACAATCCTCCTATGAGTGTCTAGGTGAACGACGAGAGAGACCCACTAATTTGAAAGTCCACTGAAAGTGACAAAAAATGATCAAAATAATTCGGGAGAACATAATGATGTATATATAATAAATGGAAATAAGAAAATCGTGGAGATTAGAAGCGGCGAAAATGAAACGAACGTGGCAGCAATCGGGTGGTTAGAAAAATCGACGTGTCAAAATCAAGTAGTGGGAGAGGCTAAAGGATGGAAAGAAAAGAAGAATAAATTCCTTTTGACTTATTTTTCTAATAAATGAAGAGGAATAATTTTTTACTTTTAAAGAAAATCCAGTGAAATTTTGGTGCGCAAGATCTGCCCTGCCCTCGGCTTCTCACCGCCACTCTTTAATTTCTTGGTAAACATCACTCTTTCCAAAAAATACCAACTTTTTTTTTAATTTTCTTTTTATTCACTTCAATTTAAATTCCATTTTAAGTTTATTCTCCTCTTCCAAAATATCTATTTTTATTTTTCAATTTTAACAAAATAATTATTTTCTCCATTATTATTATTATTATTATTATTTTACCATCTAATATCTACACCAATGAAATAATTAATAACAAGAACCAAGTTAATTACAAAATTTATTATTAAAATAGACATTTTGAAAATTGAGAGAAGAAAATGACATAAGCCTACATATTCAAAGATTAAAATATAAATACTAATATAAAGTAATCCTAAAAGTTAAAAGATATATCTTTTAGTTCTTTAACTTTTTTATGTTAATTTAGTCCATTAAATTTCAACAATGTTCGAATATGCTCTGACGATGAATGTTAAAGTTGGTGGACGATGTATTTATATGACATGATATTTTGTGACACAAAATTATAGAACGAGAATTAGCTTATTTAAAAGAAAAAAAATATAATTACTCTCCAAAAACTTGTAAGAAGTTGGCATAAGTACACCAACTTTCTTCATTTAAAGAAATCTACCAGCTCAAAATTTTTTATGTCTAAGTAAATTTTATAGCCAAATTTCAACATTCAACCACGAAAAATCCATAAATAAATAATAATAATTATTATTTATTTTTTGAGAATGAAAAATCAATATAATGAAAAAATATAAGAACACAATAGAGAAAAAATAATAAAAAAAACATATCCAAATATACTATTTTCGTTCTAAACATGTCAAGGAAAACGACGCCGCTTCGAGAATTCAAGGAAAAGAGAGAGTAAAAATCTCCGTCCGAGTTTGAAGCACAGGTGCGGCAAAACGCGCGTGGAAGCGTTGTTTAATCTGCCAAAGATACACGAAAACCGCGGCAGCGAAAACTCGAGGACAAAAAACCGCGAATGGGCAAGGAATAGGAAGCGAAGAGAGAGAGAAGTGGGGCCCACAGCGCGACGAGCGGTGACGAGGCGCTGCCGACTCATTAAAAAGACTATCGTATCCAGCTGACGTGTCACCACGCTCCGTTTTTAACTTTCCCGATTTCGGATCGCCACGCCGCCCTCCCCCCCACCGTTTTAGCGGTTTCACAATTTCCCTTTTTTTAAAAATTTTTTTTTTATTATTACTTTATTATTATTTTTAAATTTAAATCCGGTGGAGTGAATCAGAAATGCATTCAACCGGCAGAAGCGCCCAAATTCATTTCTTTCATTTCCCGTAAATTAAAACAACTTTTTTTTAATGCTTTTTCCAGCATATTATTTTATTGCTTTTCATCGTGATCTGAAAATCTGCCTTAATTTCCATTTTTATTATTAAGTTATACCTATATTATTATTATAACAGTATAAGCTAAAATGTTCTGTTGTCACTTGTCAGTCACAAACCCGTTAAATTTATTTTCTCGCAGAGAAAAAAACCCCATTATATATTATTTTTTAATTATATCTTCACAGTAATCTTTTTATTCAGTCAGAAATTTGAATATCCAATTTTTAATAATGTTTTGACTCATTAAGATATGTCAGAATTTTTTTAGTATAACATGTGGAAGTAGAACTCACCCCACTTGATCCTGAATAGATGTTTTAACTAATTAAATTATATTTGTTTGTTTTTGTTACGTTGTTATCTTTGTTGTTAGTGTGACAAATTTCATTGTTTTGATCTCTGTGAGATCCAGCTTTTCCCCTCTAATACACCAATTTTTTATTTAAAAAAATTACTATTAAATTCAATCACTAAAAAAGTATAAATATTTTTAATACAACATATAGAGATAAAGTTTCAAACTCATTACTTATTAATTAAAGATATATGTTAGTTATCGTAGAGCTATGTTTGTTTTGACTATAAAAGGTAATATTTACTTTACCATTGCCTTAGTAAAGTAAGCAAAACTTAATATTACCAAAACTTAATAAAAACATTAGATGTTTTTTTGTCAGAAGAAAATTTCTAATACTACTGAGTTCCATATTACTGTAAAGTAGATTTTTTCCCAAAGTGATAATATATTTAATAGTAACAATTTCATCAAACTTGGAAAGCGTAGTTGTAATAACTTAATAAAATTATATTTCAGGGGGTAGTTTTTAAATTCTCAGAATTATTACCAAATGAAACGAAAGGCGCGTGGGTGAGGACGACAAACGAAGGGTTGAGCGGTTCAAAAGTGAACCGGGTTTGGGCCGAAAGGAGCAGCCTCTTCTCCTCTAAATGCGCGTTACATCCACAGCATCTGTTTGTTTGTGTGTGTGCGCGCATTTGTACGTTCTTCTCTCTCTCTCAATCTAACCCTTTTGCCTCATCCCCCCATCTCCGCCGGCGCCTCCCACTCCCTTAAATTCTCCGCCTCGCCGCCTCCTCTCCCCCAATCGCCGCATGAAATCCGATCCAACTCCAACTCCAACTCCCAGGTTAATTCCTTCTCCCACTCTCTAAATCTTCGCTGCTCCTACTTCTCCTTACTCTGTTTCACTTTCTGTTCCTCTCCCTTCTTTTAATTACTGTTTCCCGGAAATTGAGGTTCCTGATTCTCTTTTTTTGCAAATTGTTGATGTTTCGGCATGTGGGGTGAGGGAGTTCGTCTATTTTAGCTGTGTTTTGTTTTATTTTTCTGAATTCATGCATCCAGCTTGTGGAGCCTCTTGAATTCACATCTGGGGTTTTCTTCTCCGGTCATTTCCGTTTGTGTTTTTTAATTTATCATGCATGATTTTGCCTTTTTATGACGATTCTCTCGCTTTTGTTTGTGAAATTTATGTGCTAAAGCTCTTCCTACTTCAATAAGTCGTGGACTGTATATATATATATATACTTTTCAGTTAATGATTATGCTAACCCTTTATTTGAAATGTCGATAAATCTACTCCTTTAGTTTCACTGTTTCTTTTTTCCTGGCATGTTGATATATCCTCAAGCAGGTTTACGTTTTAGATTAAAGCACAAAGGAATGAGTTGGTTTTATTTTATTTGCTCTGTTTGGAATTTGGAAAACAATATACAGTCGAAATCCGCCCCTCCAGGAAAAAAGAATGGGGAATCCAAGTAGTTAAGAGTTTTAAGATGTTTTGATTGTGGTTTACATCTGGAAAAGATCATCCGTCTCATCCATCTACCTTATTGCAGCAATCAAATAGTTAATATATTAATTATGGCTTCTTGTCTGGTTGTCTGTTTCGTTATTGTTCTTGTATTTTTTTTGGGCACTTCTTATGATCTTTTTGCATGCAATTGTTCACTTCATCTTCATGTTTATACTTACTGTTATATTATCAGTTTACTGTAACAGCTTGACTTCTTTGAAAAATTTGCATATGAAGTTGTAGCCAATTAGATTCTTTTTCAACAAGATATTAGCAGGTAAATGGAGCTATGGAGTTTATAGTATTCGGTATGAGCTTATTTTTATTCTCTGTCCCATCCCTATAAAATATTATTTCCTTAGTATCATTTATGTCGGGAGAGGACACATTCTTTCTCTACTTATTACTTACAGAGTTCTTCTATGCTCCAAGCTTGTGCATCTAACAGCAGGCAATTTTGCTGTTTTGATTTTTATTTTAACCATTGCCTAGATCTCTGCATGATGTTTCCTCTTCTCTTCATGTTGGCTGATTGATCTATTACACATCAGCCTAGGTTCTTTGTTTACTTTATTTTTCATCTTTTTTTACCGAAAGATTTTCATGGGTAGTACTTCCAGACCAACTAAACCACCCAAACAAGAATTTTATCTTCGTTGACTGAAAATATCACCTTATTATTACTTATTTTCTTTTTTTGAGAATTGGGAGTCGGAGTTTTGCTCCCCTATATCCTAGGGCACCCATGCTCAAAATATCACCTTATTATTCTTATTATTAATCACAATAATGCTTTATTTTCTGATTTTTCTGAACAATTGAATTGTGAAATTGCAGTTATAGCTGTATCTTTCTCCTATGTGATTATTATGGCATGTTATTAGCCTGTTCAGAGTTCTTAAATGATTTGAAGCATTATTCATGTTCTCGAAAACTATTGATTTTGTGTGGAGATTGGTTTTTGATATCCTCCCAATAGTAGTAGACATGTAATGATTTTAAAGTGGGAGAAGTTAAATATCTTTTATTAGATTTGAGACGATCTGTACATTACCAAGAATTCTACAAATTGAAATGGTTGTTTATCCCTTAATATTTCTCAATATTTGAAATTGTTCTGTTTTTGTTTCATTTTTATTTCTCTTAGGAATTGAGGAATATGATCATTGATAGGGTGGGTTAGGTTTTGAGAGGAACCTGTTTTTTTTTTAGTGATTTGATTCTTTTTGACCACTTTATTCTTTTTAATCAATTGAATTATTGGTACAGGTTGATTGACAATCAATATTTCTCTTTAGAAGTTTCAAGTTCGCTTGGATTCATCAACATTTGGTGCATCTGATACGCAAAAGGTCTTATTGATTTCTAAAAGATGGACCGGTGTGACACTTCGGGATTTGTTAGTGGGGGCGGGATCTTCTTTTTCAGAAACAATTGATCCTAGTTCCATAGCTTCTTCTTTTCTTCTAAATTATAGAAAATAAAATAAAAACTAGTTCCATAACCTTTCCTTTTTAAATCCCGGAAGTCAGGCAGGCTGGTCTATTGCAATTATAATTTGGTCTTGGTAACTATATTTTAACGAGAATTTAATGGGCTCAAGTTTCCAGAACTTCAACTTTGCTGCCAATTATTCTTTGGATGTACTAAAGTTTTTGGGAAAGTCATTCCAAGATGGGAAAACTGGAGCTGAAGACAGTGCAGATACCATTCTGCGACTTGATTCGGGATCAGTACCCTGTAGGTCCATATCAAAAGGAATGAAACGGAAGTGGAGTTTGGTTGAGAATTCCGTGGGTGGTCCTGGTCAGTCAGTTGGGTCTTCTTTGTCTCTTGGGTTTGTACATTCCTCAAGCTCTATTGACAGTAAGGGGAGTTCAGGAACTGCATGCACCAGAGTGTCTTCTGCTAAAGAAACTGATGAGGAATCCTCAATGGCACTCGACCTGGATTTTTCTCTCCATCTTGGTAACGAGAATGTAGCTAGCCCTAAAGAACCAGCCAATAAATCACTTAAAGTACAGAAAATGAAACCGAAGTTTGACTTGGAGTTAAGTCTCTCAACTGGGCCATCTGAATCTGATGTCACTTCAATTTATCAAAGTTTTCCCTCACTTCAGTTGTCAATGGAGAAACCATTGACATTTGTGGAGACCTTAAACATAGATGATGGAGAAACATCATGTTGTTGGAAGCCTGGAACTGTCCAGCCAACCATGCCCACCTCGTTGAATCCTCAGGTTGGCTACGTTTTTCACCCAGTTACTGAGAAAGTGATTCCACCTGCCAATGTTCCAGACCTTTCCTCGAGTGTTTTAACCATGCCAAAAAGCTCAGTCACCTGTACTTCCGGGATAACAGAACAGCAGCAACAACGATTTAATCGTAGTAGTAATTCCAAGATATGTCAAGTTGAGGGATGTGGCAAGGGAGCCAGAGGTGCTTCTGGCCGTTGTATATCACATGGTGGTGGTCGGAGGTGTCAAAAACCTGGATGCCACAAAGGAGCCGAGGGTCGCACTGTATATTGCAAGGCCCATGGAGGTGGACGGCGATGTCAACATTTGGGGTGCACCAAGAGTGCAGAAGGGCGCACCGACTTCTGTATTGCCCATGGTGGGGGTAGAAGATGCAACCGTGAAGGATGCACCCGTGCAGCGAGAGGTAAATCAGGATTATGCATTCGTCATGGGGGCGGAAAGAGATGTCAAAAGGAGAA